CTCAGGTATCTGTGAAGGAGATAATTTTGAGGGTACTAGATGACTGTGCACAAGAAATAGCGGCTTAGCCAATGAGATGGAGTGTGTGCACAATGATAATATGCAAAGAGAGAATACATGTCATACTTGTAGGCTTTACCTCTTATTTATAAAATTAACCTGTGGGTAATGTAATTCTGGACCTTTAATGACTTTTCTGGGAGCCCGATGCTAGGTTTATTGTCGTCGTATTAGGATTAGTGCTAATCAAGGATTCTTTCCTTTATTTTGTTAGTTTCCTCTTTCTCCTGCCCTTCTAGAATATGGACCACTCATATAAACCCATAATATATAAATATATGAAGGGTTATATTTACAATTTTTTTGTTTTCAACTACACTATATACTCCCGGAAGTACACTAAGTTACACTATGTACTTCCCGGAGTACATAGTGTAATTTTCAAAAGTTTATAAAAAAAGTTTGTAAATAGATCCTTCCTATATATATGTATATATGTATATATAGATATATATATATATATATAAGGGTTATATTTACAAATTTTTTATTTACAAACTACACTATGTACTCACGGAAGTACACTAGGTTACACTATGTACTTCCGGGAGTACATAATATAATTTGCAAAAATTTGTAAAACAAAAAGTTTGTAAACGGATCCTTCCCCCACACACATATATACTAGAAATGTTATATTTACTATCATTTTAGTCTTACTACATGTTTGGTTACCGTTGGATCAATTTAAAATCAACGACAGTTATTTTTTTTTTCATTCGTTGATTTCAAGTTGATTCAACAGTAATCAAATAAGAAGTAAGAGTGATAAGATTAAAATTATATGTATAACTGTCCTATATATATATATATATTCTAAATTAATTATTAATCTTATATTATGTTTAAATTTAAGAGAGAAAATTAAGTTTAGTTTGACGTATAATAAAAAGATCGTAAATAAATATTAATAATATTAGATTTTGTACGAAAAAATTATTTATTATATATATGTAAAATTTTGATTTGGTTTGAAATTGGATGGATTTTAAAATTTCAATCCGAAAACATATGTAATGCAAATATTTTTTATTTTCAGTTTATTTGATTTTTTTGGTTTTCATCTCAGTTTTTTTTTTTTTTTTTTTAATTCTGATATGATTGATTTGGTTATTGATCCGACGCCGTGGGGATTTACAAATATATTCAAAAGCTCAAGTGAATTTTAAAGTGAAATGATAAATATAAGAAAAAATTAACATACTTAAGATAATCATCTTAATGTAGACTAATAGTTAGAGAAGATATGAGTTTTTTTTTTTTTGGATACAGAGAAGATACGAGTTAGGTACGTGTCATTAGGCTTAGACTTAATTAGTAGAAACCTAACTGCCCACCTCTAATTAAAGGTCATTGGGTTTTGGAGGTACTATGGTAACTGTAAACTGAATGGGAGGCAGGTTTAAAGAAAATAATTTAATTTCATATGAATTTGGTTATTATTATTATTATATTTTAAAAAAAATATTCCAATCGGTTCATCTAATCCGATTCGGGGCGAGTTCTGAAATTAAGACTTTAAATTTCTCTTAAAAACGATACTGGGGGAGGATCGAACACATATTCTCACCTCACCTATTCAGTTCTCTAGTGTCAACTGAGCTATCATCATAATTTGATATGAATTTGGTTAATGGTTTAGGAGATATGAGTTTGATTTCAGGGTTCATTAAATTTTAGTAAGGATTTCAATTAAACTCATAACTGTTAATGTTTTAACTTACAACTATACAAATTGATTTAGGCGTAATTAAGTTCACCGTTCCTAAATCTTTTACGTTTTAATGAATACATTTGCATTCTTCTCTTTACCTTTTGTACGCATGTTATCTTTTAACCTGAACCTTTGCTTTTGAACCGTTATTTTTACCATTAAACCCGAATCTTTGCTTCAATTTTCTTTAGAAAGAATTATACAATAGGAATTTTGACTACAATAGGAATTTTGACAACCCCAGAGGAGGCCTCACCTTTGTATCCATTCCTCATCAAGTGGGGGTGAAAATTAGATTGTATTTTATCATCTCATTTTGTATAATCTGGTTTAGTTGATATTTTTGTTTCTTTTCAAGTTATCCAATACAAGCAAGCCAGCCACCTTTAGGGCTCTAGTTGAGCTAGTTTAAGATTGCACATGAACAAGTCCAAAGTGTGAACACAACAACTATAAGCTAGATATATAGCGTTTTCGTTATTGCGTGATCCCATATATATTTTCCAACATAGGCAAATGCTTATTATTTAGCTAAGGTACGTTCATGATATTTGCTTGCCATTTTTTGGGTTATCATGTCCTGTCCCAGCACCTAGTATAGTGTTTTTGTTTACGAAGACCTGTCTTCTCTCAAATTTTCAGTTGTTAGAGGCATTAGTTTATCATATGGATTTTGATGAATGTAGGATCTTTAATTTGGTTGGGACTTGAGAGGGAATTAAGGTTGTAGTGTTGGAGCTATTAAGGCTGCAATTTGACACTGTTTTGGTTTGGTTTTGTATTTTAGGGACTTAATGTTGGAGCTAAACATGATGTGGTTTCATGATTTGGAATTTTGCTAGGCAGGCTGATGTCATATTTTTAATATTTAATAGTTTGAAAGGGCATGTTATATTTACAAACTTTTTTGTTTACAAACTATTACAAACTACACTATCTTCTCTCGGGAGAACACTAATCACATTATCTTCTCTCGGGAGAACATAGTGCATTAATTTGCATAAATTTATAAAAAAAGTTTATAAACAGATCCTTTTCCTAATTTAAATGTTACATGCGAGTACGTTTTACGTGTTGTTTCATTAATGATATTTACAAAGAAAAATGCTATTTGAACCAAATAAATAAGTTTCTTATACCAAAAATCGATCAATTTACTTTTATTTGCTTAGTCCTTGGGGCTAGGCCCTCTCATGTATCAAAAAATAAAAATAAAATCGATCAATTTACTTTTAGTTGGAGAATTGAATTAAGTTTAGTTCAGTTAAGCTAAATTCAATTTTTAAACACTTTTTTCAATTTAAACTCATATTTAATTACTTATTTTCTTTCTTGATTCAATTAACAATAAATTTGTCTCAAGATCTTAATAAAAGCGTAATAAATAAGTGCTAGACATAAAATATTTTATCTTTAGAAAACGAAAATTAAAGTTTATACTTAATGTTTATACCCTTGTGCACTAAATAATGATTATATTATTTATCTGAATTTATTTTTCCTTATCGTAACTTATTTTTAACATACGAATGAAAAATATTTTGGGAAAAAAAAGCTCGAGGCAATGTTGAAATTCCATAATGAATGCAATATAACCTACCCTTTGTATGTGCAATATGTGAAGAAAATATTGCATTACTCTAAACTGAAGAGTGAAAAAAAAAGGGTAGTTATTTATCCGCACCCCGTGTCCCTGCAGAGCAGAGCATTGACATAACAGATTCTGTTTACCATAGGAAAAAATGAACATAATAGATTCCGTATTTCACTGTTATCTTTTCCTTTTTCAATTCCTATGTTTTTTCACTTTTTAGCATCACATATGTGATATGATAAATGAGAAATGATCATTTTCATGCAATGAACACACGCTTTGACACTGTTTGTTGCCTTTAGGGCAGTGAAAGTTGAAGCTGGATCAGATCATTTGCATTTTCAAAACAAACTAAGTGCATTCGCAAGCTGGCCCAACTCTCTGCCTTTGCATGAGTGCTTCTCAAACAAGTTGCCCTTGCGCAATGATGCCACAAAATCTTGAACATGCTACTCCCTTATCTTTCCATGCATGTTAAATTCAAACTATCTAATGACCACTTCTCGCATTTTTCTTCTCTCTTCATAATTAATATTAATGCGATAGTGATAATTTTTTTGGATACATTAGAATTTTGAAAATAAGAGTAGTGACTATCTCATCTTAAGATGAATTTAATTGAGGGGGTTTATCTTTATCAATTACATCAAACATGGCGAGAATAATAATAATTAAAAAAATATATTAAATCTCAAATTCAGCTTTATTAGATTTTTTTTTACGCGGAGCAACTTCAGTAAAAAAAGAAAAGAATAATGAATGTATATTGTTATTATTAGTTTTTAAATAAATTAATTCAAACACATAATAAATCTTAATTTGCTGTATTTTTTTCCCTCGTTGATTGTCTTAAATCGTGGGCACGAAAAAAGTTATATATAATGAAAAAAGAGGAATATACTTACAACCTACAAATTTTATAATTTTTTATAACTAAATTTTAACCGTTGATTTTTATTAATCTAACAGTTATACTTTATTATTTTTAGGTTGTAAGTACATTCTCTTTCTTAATCAAATGATTAACGTTTCTTATGTTGTAGGAGATAATTTTATCTCTTATATATATATATATATATATATGAAAGTATGTGGATCCCATACATGACTATATGAAGAAAAAAGAGAAAAAAAATAAAATGAGCCACACATATTTTTATATATGAATTTTACAATAGTTATGTTATAGGAAAAGTGATCGTGTAATGTTATAGAGATTCGTTTTGCGTGCCGTAATTTTCTTTTTTTCCTTTATTCTTCAAAAAATGTGTGCCCCACAAAATATTGTATGTGTAGGAAAATTTGTTGTGTCATGTTAAATGACAAATGCAAACCCTTTTATATATATACTAAAAATAAAATTATCTTTTATATTAATCATCTAATTATGAGAGAGAATATAACACAGGAAACACTAATTTCATATATATAAGTTATTTTTTATATTGTAAAAGAGAATTTTTATTATCTTCTAGATTGATATTTTCTCGTTTTCACTTCCCTCACATGACATGAGTCCAATTACATTAGATAAATTTTATTTCCAACAATATCTACAATATATGAGGGACATTGATTAAACTATCAATGTATACACTTTCTCTTTCTCTCACTAGAAAAAAAATCATTTGATACAGGTACACACTCTCTTCTCCTTAAAAACACACCCAAATGTTATCAAAAAAAAAAAAAAAAAACACACCCAAAAATACAATGGCGGTTTTGTCCTAGTCCCTGAATAGAAAGAGAGAGGTAAAAGAGAAAGAAACTGGTAAAGCAATAGTCACAGCACGGCCACAGTCGCTGCCGCTACACCGGAACTGTTACCCATTTTTCCATTCCTGGTTAAAGACCGAGCCCGACCCGGCCCGGGCTTTTTCACCTTATAAGGAAGCGTGAACACACTGTTTTCTTGTCCCCTCCATGAAAAAGAACAAGTAGCTACGTTTGTAACTGGCCGTTTTCTGTTACAACTTTTTCTTCAGGTTCTGGCTCTGGAGTGAGTTATTGTGCTGATTCCCTAGTCCATTTTGCTTTCTTTTTCTGGGGTTGGTTTGGTTCTCTTTGTTGAGATCCGGTGTCTTCCGCGATTCGCTGCTCCTTTGGCTGAGATCTATTTGGTTTTGGATTTTCCTTGGTTGTCTGGTTTCTGGGTCGTGTTTGGTTTTTGAGGTTGTTGCCAAATTTGGCAGTGAAAAAAAAAAGAGAGGAAAAAAAAAAAACAGATACTGGAGCGGGTTAATTGCTCTTGGTGCTAAAAAAGTTGTATCATGAAGTGTTGTGTTGAAGATTGGAACTTTGGGGGGTGGGGATTGAGGAGGATCGGAACGAATGAAGGGGGGAAGTAAAGCAATTGTCTTTTGTTGTGAAACAGGTTTTGGTTGAGGGTTTAAAGGGTGGGAATCTCTTTGAGTCTCTTGGCATTTCTAGTTGATGGTTGAGAAAATTCAGTATCTGGGTGTTTGAGTTTTGTTTAGATTTAAATGGGTTTTGGTTGGTGAAGGGGGGATAAAATTAAGAAGAATGATATTCTGGAGTAGGAAGGAAGAGACGAAAGGGATTGTTTTTGGGTCTGGGGTTCACCTTGTGGGAACTTTGTTGCTGCTCGATTGGTCTACTTAAGTGTGTGCTTGAATCATTGATATTGTGCTCGGTGTTTCACGGTTTGAAATTGCTGAAACTTAGCTGAAATGAAACTCTCTTCAGCTGGTGCTGGTTTTTGCCCTCCACCCCAGGAAGGTGTGTGTACTCTTGTTTGCATATTCTTCTTCCATTTCATCTATTTTCTATTAAAATTACTATTTTGGGTAACAATTTTCTCCGTTTTGATTTCTTGGTGGAACTAGTTATTACATCCTAGTCCTAAGTGATCAGAATGCTAGTCTCCATTTATATTTTGGTGGTACATATCTTTTAATTCTTTGAGGTGGGGATGTGGAAATTTTACCTTTTTGGGCTACAATATATCTTCTTTCTGCCGTATCTCAGAGACAAGAGAAGTAATTGGGCTTAATTTGCTGAGCACCCTCCTCATCGGGTTTTTCCCTTTGTTGTTTTAAGATCTTGGCTTTTCCTGAGAATATGTCTAAATAATTTTTTCCTTTGAGGCACTTAGGAGACAGTTAGGAACTTTCTGTTCCATATTCATGACATTGGGATGGATTTTTGCAGGAGAAAAGCGAGTTCTAGATTCAGAACTTTGGCATGCATGTGCTGGTCCTCTTGTTTCTTTACCAGCTGTTGGAAGCCGAGTGGTCTACTTTCCCCAAGGTCACAGTGAACAGGTGAGTAAGATATGAATGTTAAGATTATCACTCCTAAAGAGAAATCCTTGTGGAAGCTATCTGTCATTTTTCTTTTACTATGGCATGTATAAAATAATAATACGAATCTTCAGTTTCTGGACATGAAGGTGCTAATATGTTTACTTACCTATATGGTGACTTTAATTGGTTCTTTTGTCTTGTCTCTGGTCTCTGACTCTAGCGTGGCTAATTTTAAGGGTGGGGTTGCTTTTAAACTAATTTAACAAAACTGGCATTTTTTTTTTTTTTGGTAGGAACAAAATGGCTTTATTCTTTCACTATGGTGACCCTTCTGTAATGCTTAACGAACACCTATGCCCAATTCTTTAGGCTTAAACTGTTGCAGGTTAATGAATTAACTCGCTGAAATGAAATATCTCCACCTACATCCCTGAAATCAGCACATGAACTTTTACATTTGAAAACATCTCTGTTCTTTTCCTGCTTAAGCTACATATATGGATGTCTAAATCAGCTTTTTTCTGCTTAGGTTGCTGTGTCTACAAACAGGGAAGTGGATGCCCATATCCCCAACTATCCAAGCTTACCTCCCCAACTTATTTGTCAACTTCATAACATGACGATGCATGTAAGGCTTGTTTGTTTATTTATTCATTTACCTGTTCTTTTTTTTATACCAATAAAGCTTGTTTATTTTGGTTTCCTTGTTTCAAATTCTCCCATATGCTCATTCCTGCACTCTCTTTTTCTTTAATTATTTGTTCATTTTTTTTTGGATTCAGGCTGATACTGAGACAGATGAAGTATACGCACAGATGACCTTGCAACCTCTGAATCCTGTATGACTGATAACTGGTAGTGTGGGTTTTATTGTTATCTTCAAATTTCAACTTTTGACTATGACCATGTTTACAGGAAGAGCAAAAGGAGGCGTACCTTCCATCAGAGTTGGGCACTCCGAGTAAACAGCCAACAAACTACTTTTGCAAAATTTTGACAGCCAGTGACACAAGCACTCATGGAGGGTTCTCTGTTCCTCGCCGGGCAGCTGAAAAAGTTTTTCCTCCATTGGTAAAATTTTGTCGGAGTCATGCTCTAAAACTTTTAACTTGTTCACTAAATCCGTGCATTTCTTAACATTATAATTTTCACATACAGGACTTCTCACAACATCCTCCTGCTCAGGAGTTAATTGCAAGGGATTTGCATGGCAATGAATGGAAATTCAGACATATCTTTCGCGGTAAGTTGTAAAACTGAGATTATTGACCTCTTTTAAATTGAAAAATGTAGTTTTTTTGGTTGCTTCAGTCAGAAGCTTTTATTTTAATTGCTGGGTGCTTACAATAAGTGCACTTTCCATTCACAATGTTTGAATTTGGTGTCTTTTTTTGCAGGCCAGCCCAAAAGGCATCTGCTTACAACAGGATGGAGTGTCTTTGTTAGTGCTAAAAGACTTGTTGCTGGTGATTCGGTGCTGTTTATCTGGTAAGTAATTTCCTGCCCCTTTCACTGCAATTTTCTTGTCATGTATATTTGAAATTTGACCTTCGGCTGTTATATGGTTGATTGACTTGTCTTACTGAACCAAGCCATGTGACTTGTATGTCATTTGGCCATCCTGAAGAAAATAAGGAAACATTCTTAAGAAATGTTTTGTATATTGTAATTTATTTATTAGTTTATGTTTTTGAGCCAGGAATCCTTGATTGAGTTGCTATTGAAGATATATGATCTTCCTTTTTAATGTGCTTTCCATATGGTAGAAGGCTTTAAGGGAGTGGTTGCTTCTTATTTCTCCTAGCTACTTGCTTTTTTATCTATGCTTTATGATATTGTGTTGAGCATAGTTAATCTTATTAGTCATTGTGTGATATCTTATAATTGGTTTAATTCAAGTGTATTTTCTTCAACAGGAATGAAAAAAATCAATTGCTTCTTGGCATTCGGCGTGCTAATCGACCACAACCTGTGATGCCTTCTTCAGTGTTGTCAAGTGATAGCATGCACTTGGGGCTTCTTGCTGCTGCAGCTCATGCAGCTGCAACAAACAGTCGTTTCACCATTTTCTATAACCCCCGGTACAACTATCGCACATTTGTAAAAGTTTCATAGTTATGATATATTTCCTTTAATTGACATTTTTTGTCTTTTTAATTCAGTGCTAGCCCGTCAGAATTTGTCATACCCTTAGCGAAGTATGTTAAAGCTGTGTATCATACTCGAGTTTCAGTTGGTATGCGCTTCAGGATGTTGTTTGAAACTGAGGAGTCTAGTGTGAGGCGGTAGGTTTTTTAAACTTCTCTTGTGGAAAATGATATTGTATAAATGCGTTCCTATTTGATGTTTGACATGTTAGTAAATTAAGGTTAATATGCAATATGAATATATGATTTAGAAATCAAACATGGTTGAATTTTCCAAGTTGCCATAAGCCATAGGCTAAGACTGTAGAAAAAATCTTGGCTGATGTTGAATGGTGGCTGTGGTTTCCTCATGTGAAGTGCGATTAATATCTCATGCTGTCATACATGATGCAATTGGGGACTCAAAAATTCCAAGAGCTATGAAGAACATTAATCAGATCATTATGCACTTATATCACAAATATTAGATTAGTGAGTTTTATTCTGTGCTTGTTTTGTGCTTATTTTTATTAAATAAGTAGGAGGTTTTATTCTTAGTGTTGCATTAATGCATCTAATATTTGACTCTAAAAATAAGTTAATATTCATATCTTATTTCTCAAAGCATATCAAATATCGGTGCATGCCAACATAAAGTATGATTTTATAGCAGTACTCAAATTCAATACAAGATACAAACACATTTTTTGATTCATTTATCTACGTATGTCACTAATCAATTCTCGGAGCACTAGTTTGCTTTTTTTCTTTAACTTTTTTAATGATGGTTTATATTTTGTTGCAATGAGATGAACTAGAGACATGGATTGGAATGTATGCTTCTCATACTGATCCTCTATAATACCCTAGTGTGTCATCTATAAAGTTGAAATTAGGTCAGTCACTTCATAGAGTTGGTGATACATATTTGTGGTACTAACATATGCTCATGCAGATACATGGGCACAATAACTGGCATTAGCGACTTGGATCCTATCAAGTGGCCAAATTCACATTGGCGCTCAGTCAAGGTCTGTATGGAAACATTTATGATATTTCATTGATGTTATATAATTAAAGTAAATGCTACTTGCTTCTCCAGATGTACGATTAACAATATCTTGCTTCAATTGAGGAAGGATTTTAAATATGGCTTTGAATTGAGTTGCAGGTTGGCTGGGATGAATCCACAGCAGGAGAGAGGCAACCTCGAGTGTCTCTATGGGAAATTGAGCCATTAACAACATTTCCGATGTATCCATCTCCATTCCCCCTTAGGCTTAAAAGACCATGGCCTACAGGACTTCCTCCGTTCCATGGTATTCTTCTTGCCACATTTAGTGACGAAAATATTCATGAATTTTTCTGGCTACCTAATCTAGTTTCAACTTAGAAAGCGATTCTCTTTATAAGACTGTCTCATTTATACATCAATGGAAACTCATTCTCATTGACAAATGATAGCAGGTTTGAAGGATGATGATTTTGGCATAAATTCTTCACTATTGTGGCTTCGGGACACAGATAGAGGTCTTCAGTCTCTTAATCCTCAGGGGATTGGCGTTAGTCCTTGGATGCAACAAAGACTTGATCCCTCCATGGTGAATTTGCAAACAGATATGTACCAGGCTATGGCTGCTGCTGCACTTCAGGATATGAGGCCTTTGGATCCTTCCAAACAGCATCATGCATCTTTACTTCAATTTCAGCAACCACACAACTTCCCCAACAGGACTGCTGCTTTAATGCAGACACAGATGTTGCAGCAGTCTCAACCTCAGCAGGCTTTTCCAAATAATCAAGAAAATCATCATCCATCTCAATCTCAATCTCAAGCTCAAATGCATCTTCAACAGCATCTACAGCATCAGCACTCGTTCAGTAATAATAGTAATCATCTTCATCTGCAGCAGCAACAACCACAACACCAACAGCAAGTGGTAGATCATCAGCAAATTTCAGGTGCTGTGTCTACAATGTCTCAGTTTGTTTCGGCACCTCAACCTCAATCACCACCTATGCAAGCTATATCTTCACTCAGCCATCAACAAAGTTTCTCTGATTCAACTGGGAACCCTGTGACTACTACTATTGTTTCTCCCCTGCATAGTATATTGGGTTCATTTCCCCAGGATGAAACATCTAACCTTCTCAACATTCCGAGAACAAGCTCTTGGGTTCCTGTTCAACCTTCAACTGCATGGCCCTCCAAGCGTGTTGCATTGGATCCTCTCCTTTCTTCTGGAGCATCTCAATGTGTTCTGCCTCAGGTGGACCAGTTGGGGCAGCCACAGAGTACCATGTCTCAAAATGCTATTACATTGCCACCCTTTCCTGGTAGGGAGTGCACTATAGAAGGCAGCACTGATCCACAAAACCATCTTTTGTTTGGTGTTAATATAGAGCCCTCGTCGCTTCTAGTGCATAATGGGATGTCAAGCCTTAAGGGGATCAACAGCAACAGTGACTCATCAACAATACATTTTCAATCTTCTAATTACCTGAATACCACAGGCACTGATTCTTCATTGAATCTTGGAATGACACACGACATTGGTGAGTCGGGCTTCCTGCAAACTTCAGAAAATGGGGGCCAAGGAAACTCACCAACTAAAACCTTTGTGAAGGTGACCTTTTTCTCTTTCAACTCAACATTTTATTTTTCACTCAATTACTACTATGTTGTAATACACAATAAAGTTGGCTTATTCAAATCTTGCATTATTACTTAATATATATATTTTTTTACAGGTTCACAAGTCAGGGTCCTTCGGAAGATCATTGGATATCACTAAATTCACCAGCTACCCTGAGCTGCGCAGTGCGCTTGCTCATATGTTTGGCCTTGAAGGTGAGCTGGAGGACCCAAGATCAGGCTGGCAGCTTGTATTCGTTGACCAAGAGAATGATGTTCTTCTCCTTGGTGATGGCCCTTGGCCGTAAGTACTTTGCAGTTCATGCCTTTTCTTTTTAAATGAAAACGAGAGAATCTGCATTAAATCGTATCGTAGTTTTATACAACTAAAATCTCATGTCACTTTAGATTTTAGTAATAACTGATTTACTTCATCTTCATTGTTTACTGTGTGTCCTTATACCTATGGTGGTAATGACTTGTATATTCTGGATTTCATTCTCCTTTATTTGTTTATTTTTTTGTCAAAGCAAATGACCAATTGACCAGGGTACTGTTCTTACATCTTTATCACATACATGATTTTTCGTGTGACAGGGAATTTGTAAATAGTGTATGGTGCATCAAGATACTTTCCCCTCAGGAAGTGCAGCAAATGGGCAATGGCCTAGAGCTTCTGAACTCCGTTCCAATTCAGAGGCTCTCTAATGGCATTGGTGATGACTACGCTGGCCGTGAGGACCCAAGAAATTTAAGCACCGGGATAACAACTGTGGTATCTTTAGACTACTGAATGATGTGACAATCAATTAATACTAAGAATTTCTTCACTCTCTCTCTCTCTCTCTCTCTCTCTCTTGTATTATTACCCTTATCAACCCTTTTGACAATGATGGGAAGTGCCGCCTAGTTGTAGTTTGTAGTCTACTTATAAGCCTTTTTTTTTTTTGTCTTTGTTTTCCTGTTTTTTGCTGCTTAGGACCATTCATAAGCTAAACGCTGTAACTATATGGCATCTTGTCATTGTGCTATCTACAATATATTTGTTACTTAATCTGTTAGTAACTCAATGCGTGAAAATAGCTCGCTCTCTCTCTCCAATTATAGTAGTTACTTTTATTTTAATCTCGTTTAGGCTAAAATCATTAGTGGCATGTATTGACCGAGTGTCTACTGGACAATGTTGGAGGTGATGTTGGACTTGTCGAACCTTGAATCCGGGGTAACTGTTTGGTAAAACCTTTCATGCATGAAGATTAAGTGGGTGATAAAGAGAGGACAGTGCAGATGATGTTGAACTTCCTTGACCTTTCTGATAGCTAAAGTTCTTGGGAAGGTTGATGTGACACTTAGAACATGAAGAGTGCACCAAAGCCATGTGATGTGTCTCTATAAACATACAAGGACGGAGAACAGATCACTTTGTGCTTCCATTAATGTGAAAGTGGCCTCCTTTGTATTCTTCTTGGTTTTGGCCACGCACACTTTCACTTTGGTTGTAATGGGTTCTGTTTCATGAATTGCAAAGTGAAAGCTGTACATTTTGTCCATTTCGATCTTGTTTATTCCTTCCCGTACTAGTAGTATTTGGAATCTGAAAAGCATCTAAATTCCGTACCATCACTATCTATCTAAGATGTCCTTTCTTAATGGCAAGCTTAATAAGTTGTTACAAAACGTTGAAAGACAGAAACAATGCTGATTGCAATTGTTGAAGTGAAATCAATAAATACTCAATCTTGATAAGTTGGTTCTCTCTACGTTTAACTCTCTTAATTTTGGAGGGAATGCATTATAAAATTAACGGTTAAGCTCTAATGTTGTGTCAGCTAAAATTTGTAGCTCAAGTAGTATATGAATTTTTAAGAGACTATTTGATCTCGGAATTTTTCTTCATTCTCATACTAAGGTCGAGAATTTCTGACTAACATTACATACAAGAAAGTAGATTTTAAAATTTTTACAATTTTGAATTATTCTCATCTTTGAAAATTGGTTAAGAGCTTTGAATCTGTAGATGTCGGCAGATTTGACACTTGACAGTGAACTTTATTATCATATGCCACAACGTGTAATCTTCCAATTCGTTAAATAAATCTAGTGTCTAGGGTTTTTTTTTCTTTCTTTTTTCTCCTTCATAGGAAAAAGACCACTATAGCTATAGCTGTTCACTGGAGGATAAAGTTGGACTTGAGTGTAGGGTTAATTAATTGTGCAATTTTTTCGATGCATGTTGTGGGGTTGCCTAACTAGTTGTGAGCTTTTTTCTGGGTATGGAATGTTGACAAGGTAAGGCACTATCTACCGTAATAATAACAATAAAAAGGGTAGGGTTGGCAACCCAACAACCCTAGCCCATCGTTATTGTTGAATCAATGTATGTAACTTACATTTTATCTTAATCTCACCTTCACTTCCTTATTTCTCTCTCTCTTCTATCTTGCTTGTGTTGTGTACTCTAGTCTCTGGCATTTCGCTGTCAACCACCACATGACCAAAAAGGTTGTAGCAAAACTGGCAACCTTGTTGAACACGTGCATCGACCATGTCGTTTGTTGTTTCCACTGTAGAAATTGATTGCTCCATCTGCGCTTCTTTGTCATATAAAGTTTAGGCATGAGCCTCCGTAATCATTTTGCACTTATGCATAATTTTTATGTTAATTAGGAAAGTTTTATTCTGCAAGTAAAATTTCCTGATATTGAAAATCAACTTTTTTTTTTTTTTTTTTTGAGGTTACAAGGAATTGAACACAACACTCTACACTACACACCCTCCTAACACACACACCCCACGCTACTAGATTAACCCTAGTGGTGCAATATTGAAAATCAACTAAAACACATCTTGTAATTATGATCGAATATTAATACTTGACATGTCAATTTATATTAGGCTCGTGCATTGTAATTTATGGGTTTTTGTTTTTTTAAACGACAAGTGAAGTAACCATTAACCAATCCACGTGGGAAAAATAAATACCTATTGTCCTTGTTATAACTTAAATTTATTATCTAATTTCTATTTCAATTAAAAGCAAAAAAAAAAGTCAAAAATTATGTGATACAAATCATTCACGAGATAATTATCTTATGCAACAGAGACAAGATAGTGGGGCCCGCCATTAAAAAAAAAAAGAAAAAATAGTAGACTCCACTACTTTGTCTCTGTTGCATGAGATAATTATCTCATGCAACATGGGATAATTATTTTCCATAATGTAAAGGTTTAAAACTCATTATAAATACTTTGTAGTCAAGACGAATCTCGTATTTTTAATAGCAAAACTTTGAGGAAAAGATTTGAGAAAAGAATTTTAAGTTAATATTTTATTCTTGTGGTATAGGTAACAAGATAAGGGTCGATATAATAACTAAATGATGGTAGCTCAGTTGGCTATAGGAGCTGAGTAGGAAAATTGAGAACATGTGTTCGATCCTTCTCTATCATATTTTAAAGGGGTTTAAATTTTAATACTGGACCAGCCCGAATTTCAGATTAGTTCATAGGAAACGTATGAAATTACCAGGGAAATAATCTAAAAAAAAAAAGGTCGATATGATAATAAAATTATATTAGAGTAGAAAATAATATGGCTTAATAATCTCATATCATATAAAGATAAAAGTAACCTTCAAAACTTAATTTTATATTTTTTTTTATATTATATTTTAAACTATTTTTTCTTGGTTCACTTATTATATATTAGTTCTTACTTTAAATTATTAAAAAATTATAAAAATAATAATTTTAAATAAAATACATCGAAATACATCAAGTAATTTACAAAATTTTCCAATATAAAAAATATATTGAATAATTTTTTGAAAATAAATTTAAATTGATTGTTAATATTCATATATGTAACGTGACAAAAATAATTTGAATAACATGAACTTAAAAATAATAATTCACAATCACATCCAACATAAAATAATTCAATTTGAATTATAGCTTGAATTAATTTATTTAGTGAATAGAAATAATTGCTAATCATGTCATGCATATTACACACAATATTTGGATAAAGTTAAAGATATGTTACTCAATAATTTTTTTTTCCAAAACGCATGTCACGATAGTGATGGATGGCTGGTGGCTATAATTTTGGTGATTGTTGGTCGGTGTCAATATGGTTGTAGCGGCGGCAACAACAACAATGGTATTGGCTAGGGGTTGGTGATGGTAACGATGGTGTTGGCTAGTGACTGGTCGTATATAGGGCTAATCTTCAAGTTCCCAAGAAAGTTTGAAGTAGGCAATAATTACTTTTGAAAAAAAGAATTTTCTATCCTATCCTATTAAATTCTAACTCAAGTCTCCTTCAGAATAATATTATGATGTGAGTAGGATAAAATAAGCAATTAGAATAAATATCACATGACAATATCTCATCAAACCATGAATAAAAACGAGATATATAGCTTGTCAACCCTATCCCCACTACCCTTTGGCCAAAAGAGCTCTTAAGCTCTAGAGTTTTGGTTAAAATAATAGCCTAATTACTCAAAGTGGGTTTCTAATGATTTAACCAAGTTTTCAACAAAATTGATGTTGGGGTTTTGCTTAATTATTTGAGTTTGAATGACTACACATTCAAACCCAACATTGGAAGTGCATGATACAAATCTCTATACTTGGAAAAATGAATTTCGCAAGACTCCACGCATTGAAAATTCCCCCAATTAAATGGAGAAAAATCTAGAGAATAAAAGAAAGGTCTCTTGACCACCTTTAAACAGGGCCATAAGGGAGAAAGCAGTGTTGTTAAACCCGACCCGGGCATTGACCCGGTCGGGGTACTGGGTCACTGGTCGGACCGGTTGACCCGGATATATATAGATATATAAAAATATATATAAATATGAACATATAAATTCAATTATATCTTCCATATCTAAAATAAATTAAACAAGGTTCACTAAATAAGTTTAAAAAATGAAGCATAAATAAATAAAAATGCATGCTATTACTATGTCAATTTAAATGGCAACTCAGAATCCCCATAAACATACTTCTCAATGACATTGAACTCATATTTTTCAAATTCAACTACATTAAAATGACATATGTGACATTCTCTAATTTATTATTCCACAAATTACTTTAGTATTGGAAACTAAGAGGTCATTGTAGAAGAGTATACTAGCAAATAAAATTATAAAAAGTTGTTAAAATGAGTTTTACATTTTTTTCATAAGATGAAACAATTTTGATTTTTTTTTTTTAAATGCATAACCCGACCGGGTCACCGGGTCGACGGGTCACCGGGTTTGGCCGGGTTTGGTCGGGTTTGTCCGAATTTTGACCGGGTTTGACTGGGTCGATGCATGACCGGTCCAATGCTTAGCCCGAACCGGTCTGATGACCGGTTCACCGGGTTCCGGGTCAACCCGGCCGGGTCGGGCCGAGTTTGACAACAGTGGGAGAAAGAGATTGGTTGAGCCCTCAAGCAATTGAAACAATCCATAATAGATCCTTCAAGTGAGAGAGAGCCACCATTGAATAAAGAGTTTGAGAGACTGTTATCATCTTAAACTAGAGTTAGTTTCACCACAACGGTAAGAGTGATTCACCAATTTAGGTGAGTTGAAACTTGTTGCGATCCATCCTAATGAGTGAGAAGCATTTCAGTGCAATCCTCGAATTTTGTACTGAAATATATAAAAATATTGTTGTAAGCATGCAAAAATTTTTTATACAATTGTTATCGTACGTGTTATTATAATGGAAGATTTGGACCTTTTGTGCATGGTTTTCGCTTCATTTTAAGGGGTTTTCAACATTAAAATTTTGTGTGTTTTATCTCTTTTTCATAGATATTTAAATCACGTAAACAGAGTAAAATATTCGCTTGGACATTAGTGTATCCACCTTTCCCATACGATTGAAAGCGTCCGATTAAGTTGAGAGCTTGACATACTACTACATACCCGAAAAAAATATTTATTATTTGATATGTTTACATCTCTAAATTTGAAGCCTTTCAGGTTGTGAGCATGCATGCATCAAGTGACAGAAAGTTGGCGTATCAGCAATTCAGCATGCATGGCTTATTTACGAGTAAGAGTCACGTTCTCACTGGGTTTCTTTGCTTGATTTAACAACAGTAGATGATAACACAATTCAATAGATTAGGACAAAAAAATATTCTGGGGGCTTGTGGTGCAGTTGCCACCCCTGCCCTTTCATACAGCACAAAGATTAGATATTCTGTGGCACAAAAATATTTTTGAAGCTTAAGTCTTAATTTGTTTCAAGTAATTATATTGGGCCTATTTAACTATTATTAAAGTAAAATCGTAGCCCAACTTATTGTGGGCTTTGAGTCAGCTGAAGAAGACTCATAAACCGAAGTCGGAATAATGCCCTTGTTAGACGGAGATTTTATGAATTGAATTCGATAGAAATTAGTAGTTTGAATTCAATATTGATACTTATTAATGTTTCTTACGTTGTAATAGATAATTTTATCTCCTATACATATATAAAAGTATGTGAGACCCATATGAGATCATGTGAGGAGAAAAAAAATATAGATCCACATACTTTTACGTGTTTATAGGAAATAAAATTATCTCCTATAATATGAGAAATATTAATCCCTTGCTTTATATATATACAAAATTTAGGGTTATTGCTTCTCATGTTATAAGAGATAACTTTATCTCTTACACATACATAAATGTGTGTAGGGTCCATATGAAGAGAAAATAGAGAAAAAGAAAACATGGACATTTTACATGTATGTAGGAGATAAAATTATCTCCTACAACATGAGAAACATTAATTCCGAAAACTTCTCTTTAAATATAAAAAACCAATGTGAGGATTGACTTTTAATTTTTGGCTCAATGCTATAATCAATTAATTCAAATACCTTAAAAAAAAGAAGGTTTAGACTCTAGAGTATCTTTGGGCCGGGCTGGGCCATGGGCGGAGCAAGATGATTTGGGCTAGGGAGCAAAACCGGGTTAGTACCCGAGTGAGTGACTAGGGTTTATGTAGAAGGCATCCGAACAGCATCATCTGAAATATCGAAGAGGCGCGGAAGCAAGTTTGTTTGTTGGGGGTCACAAGTCACAACAACAATGGTACCACACTCACTATGTTATTGTTTGGTTTCGTTTCGTGGTCTTTGAATGAATTGTTAGTGTTGAAATCTGATCATGATTGTTCTGTGTTTGTGTTGTAATATGTTCAAAATATAATACAAAACAGCCTAAGCAGATCCACGAGATTAAGGATTTCCTTCTGACGGCGCGGAGGAAGGATGCACGGTCGGTGAAAATCAAGAGGAGCAGGGACGTTGTTAAGTTCAAGGTGCGATGCTCCAAGTATTTGTACACACTTTGTGTCTTTGACCCTGAGAAAGCTGATAAATTGAAGCAATCCCTTCCTCCTGGTTTGAGCGTTCAAGATCTTTAAACAACCGTTTCTTTTCTCTGTATTTCCTTCTCTAGCTTCTGTTACTTGGTCTTGTATTTTGATAATTGCTACGAGGACATGATTGTTTTTCATTTATTATGAAATGTGAGACTTTGATTTTCAGCGCTGTGGAATTACACATAAATTTCTCTCCTACTTTATACTATCAAATGTGGCCTTTTCTGTGATATGTTTTGAAGTGATTTAATAATAGCAACTAATAATTTGTTATTGTTTGTATAGCATTAGGGATTGTTTGTTCGCTAGTTTGATATTGATTTTTATGGCATTTGGGTTCAGAGTTCATTACCAAATTGCTGAGCTAATTCAGTTTTAGTTATGTAATACCAATAGTACCAAGCTCCATACCAATTCGCTATAAATTGTTACCTGACTCCGTATGGAGCTGTCAAGGATATCAGCTATCTAAACTTTTTTCCTTCTAGTCTCAGCTAGATTTGATTCTGCTAGCTGAGGTTGATCAGTTGGCGATTTGGTAATTTTAATTTATCTTGATTTTTTGTCAACTTGATGAATAACCACTACCAAATTCTTATACACTATTTTGTTTTTGGAGAATTCCGTTGCTGGAGTTGGTTTCTCTAATTTCGTTATTAGACAAAAAAAAAAAAATGCGCCCAGGTAAAATATAGTTTGGTTACTCGAGGAGATATTTTGTTGAGAGTAAATACTTTTTTTGGTTCTCAGCAAATTTTACGACGTCCGTTTTAATTCCTAGCAAATAAAAAGATTATTTGTGGTCCTTGAGAAATTCAAAATCACTCTTTTGATATTGAAATTAGAAGGCTAATAAGAATTTGACTCTTCTACGGTCAAATATTGAAATTATAATCGGTGAATGAAAAACTTATAATCGAGAATGACAAAAAATAAATACATTCATGTATTAAATTATGAAACTACATATAGAATCATGAAGTTTTATAATTTACTTTTTCTGATTTTTAATCAAAGCTATGCTTCTGTTTTCCATCATTGTAAAATCTATACATCCAAGAGGTATAGGTCAAGCGGCGTTTCAGTCGAATTTTAGGATTTGATCTATGCAAAGGATAAAGAATTTGATTTCTTAAAATTGTAATTCCAGAAAAGGGTGAAGAGTTTCAAACCTGAAACCAGACTAATAAAACTTTTTAGGGTTTCAAAGTCCAAGTTGATATCGAAGCAAAGTTTTTCTCCGAATGGAAAAAATATAAAAAAATAAAATGAAAAATGTCTGAGGTCGAAGTTTACCTAACTAGCTCCATTCTTATGAACTTCACTAATCTTTTACCTTATCTTCCCTCCACCTTCACCTTTAATTTTTCCCTTCCCCATCGCCCTTCTTCCATATGAGTCCAAATGAAGATCTGTGATTTGGTCTGATTCTGCATATTTAGGAGCCATGCAAGTAAAGGCTTCTGCTATGGCGGCATCTCTTTTGGGCTTGAGGTGAAAAGTTGCTCTAGGCAGTTCTGAAAGTTGGTGCTCTCAGAATGAGAGGATAGAATATAGTAATTTATTATAATAAAAAAAAATTAATGGGGAATGACTTGTACACAATTTTATCTTTTTCATGATCAAAGTGTAAATTTGAAATTTTACACAACCTGCTTGATAGGTTGCAGGTAATTATTCTGAGTCATGGATGCAAAAGTCTTCACACTCAATGCTCAGTATCATATGAGATGTTGTATAGTGCTAGTCCCCTTGTGTTTTCATGCGGTTCTTTGTCACTTCAAGGTCCAACCAAACCTAATGAGCTGCATTTGTGGAAGAGGCAAGTTCATGCTTTAGAAATTAGAACCATTGTGGCGGTTTTCCATATACTAAATTCAAAAAGAGTCACTTTTGCAGCCTTGTGGAAACTTGTGTTATACCAAAACACAGCCCAAGAAGGCATGTATTTGGCCCATTCCCTAGGTCGGTGGCTAGTGAAAAGGGTGAGTCAATAAAAGGAAGAGCATGCTTACCACCTTATGCACACATTCCACTCATGAACAAGCTTGTGCGCATCTTTTTTCATTCCATGCCAACATTATTCATGGCCTAATCTTTTAAAACAATTAAGCTCCCCTAAATTTTGTGCTAATATATAATGTGGCTTGAATAATTTCAATCCATGCCAATATCTATTTATTCATATTCAGTGTTGTTTCTATTGAGTTCACAGTTGTTGTCATAGAGTGAGAAAAGAGATCTAGCCTACTTTATAGTTTATGTAGCAGCAAGTTGCACGCAAGATTCCAATGCAAATTTAACTCCTAGTTGCATTCCGTAATAAAGTGCCCAAAAGGGCGAAAACTTGTTTTTGCAAATCGAAGAAAAAGTGCCAACAAGCTTTTACCGGTCAAAAGTCTAACCTCGGTGTAAAAGAATTTTTTTTTAATGAACATGATTATGTCAATGAATCACTTATTGGGTGCTAAAAAAGTTTAGATTCTTAACAATGCTTTGGTAGCTAGAGTAAATCCTCAAGAAAGTTTGTCAAGAAATGAACGTTTATTGAGAGTGTCTTGAAGCACCAACACTCATTTGGTGACACCAAATAAAGGGTCTTAATTGGAAAAAGCTGATTCTTACAAAAAGCTTGCACCTTGTTTGTAGGATTCTTAGGAAATAGCATCATCCATCCTAATTTTCCTTCCATTCATCCATTAAAGATTTTCTCTAATGAGTGTGTTTAATTAGAAAATTGCACCAAAAAATAATAGGACAAACTAAAAGCAGGAAGACAACGAAATTTACATTTATAGAAAGTAAAAGCAAAAAAGGCCAAGTACATTAAAGCAAACATTTCATTTTTTTTTTATATTTTTTTTTTAAAAATAAACACGGTTTTGTAACTTGTAAACATCGTAACTCAGCAATCGCATTTATGTAAGCAACTTGCACTTAAGTTGCTTGAAAAATTTCAAGGTTTCAGTAACGTATAAGATGAGCAATCTTGGAGTGAGGTGCATTTTCTTCTAATTGCAATGTCTTTTAATGTATATATCACAGCCAACCACAGCAAATGTAATTGGAAGAGGGCATTCGTCCTGTTTGGCGTATGTATTCTGCTTGAGCTACAGTTTTTTCTGCTTCTTGATTTCTTCTAGCTTCAGCTGCTGCACGTTTTTCTTCTGATCTTTGCCTCGCCATAGCAATCTTTTTCACCATCTTTGCATGTGTCTGAGCTCTCATTTGCTCAACTTTGGCCTAAAATGTATGTAGTTTCACTTTCAATCATTGACAAAGTAAAAAACATTGCTATGTAGTAAAGATTTTTTACTTAAGTATTTCTAAGGTCATATTGCAATTAAATAACGGCCACAGAACCATATTGATTTGATCTTGTATTGAATATGATATCATTATTATTTGATCAAATATATCATTAAGTCATCAAGTTTCTATTATATATAATCAAAGAGAAATATATTATATATTAATTCAGAACCAGATAGACAGCTTCCAAGTTAAATCTTATAGCCAAGCATTTCATGCCATATATTCAAGTAGGTATCGGTAAAATTCATAACAAAATTTGACTACGCTTTTCTGTCTCTCTCCATGTACTTAGTTAAAAATGCTTTATAATCACTTCAAACCACATTTATGTTTTAAAATATGCAACAATTTTTGTTTCCGATGAATATTAGGCCATGCAAAAGAATAACTACCTCAATTCTTCTCATTTCTGCTTCTAATTTTGCTTTTTGCTGACTTTCCCATGCCTGAATTTTGATTTCCTCACGCTTAAATCTGCAAATTTTAACATGTTATAATCACGTCAGAAAGGATGAACACATTACATATTTCTACAATTAATTACAAAATATCATGGTTTACATTAGTCTATAGAGAATATGAGTAAAAAGAAACCTAGCAGTATGTTTAGATTTTTCAGCTTCCTCCCACAAAGCAGCACGTTTTTCAAATTCAATTCTCTCCTGTTCTTGCGCATTTGTGTCACAAGCAGAAGGTTTTTTCTTCTCATGATCATCTTTGCTTGCCCATGCAGCAATATTCATCTTACCAAGCTGAGCACCAAGGGCTGCAATCTCTCTCCTTGTCTTGATCTTCATTTCTTCTTCAGACAACTTTTTTTTGCTGTTTTCAACTGGAAACTGTGAATCCTCGTCGGTTGCGTTTTCCAAAGGTGTTGGAGCAGGTTCACCTCTCCTAGGAGTTGAAGGCATTGAGGAAGTTGGGCTACGTAGTGGAGTTGCTGACCCAACAGGAGTAGCAGTCCTTGAAGGTTCTTGACTTGGCACAGGAGTCATTTCAGTTCCCATATCTCTCATGGCAACAGATCTTATCCCAGGAATCCCTGCATCATAAGAACAAGTTAATCTTACTATCTCTTAGAGAAATCTAATATAAGACCAATTAACATGGCCCTTACTTAATAGTTTGTGCTTTTAGGTGAGATGACTATCTAAACTCTGAATATGTCACCTATGCAAAAAATTGACTTCTAGCAAGAAGTGCATTCGCACCAGGACATACAAATAATACTTTATGTTTCACACAGACCATCATCCAGTTATGCAATGAAGTAAAGGTTGCCTTAAAGGGGTTCATTCTGCTGATTTTTATGTTTATTTGTATTTTTGGATTCTTTGACTATGGTGTCCCCACAGGCATTACTGTGAGAGCTTGTTCTGTTGATTAAATGCTTCCTAAGTCTATGGCATAGGCAAATTCAATCTAGTTAAATTTTGCATGAATAATAGTTAGAGTAATACTTTGCATAGTCCCCGCCCTAAAGGAGGATATCATTAAAAAAAACACATAACCTATATCATAATTGGGGTACAATGAGATCTTCAACATACCTGTCTGATCATCTATACTTCTTGAGCAAGATAAGTCCAATTCTTTTACTTCCTTTAGATCTTTGCTTTGGGGAAAAGACTCCACTACTGGAATTCTTCCATGTGCTTGACCTGAAACTGAATGAGCCTCGGATGGATCAAAAGCAAATTTCTCAAACCCCATATGAGATGTTGGTTGACAGAAATCAACTCGCTTTGTTTCTGTCACCTTGGCTGTTAGGAGCTTATGATCATAATTACCAAACTCTGGAGCAACCCTCACCATACTTGTTGTTGGCAAGCGATTTGCTTGGTTATGTGCAGTATTCTTTTTTAAGTAACCAACTTGTATATTTTGCCTATTCATTATCCATTTTTCAGCATCATTCCACTTAGAAGGAATAGGTCTCAATAGGGATCTTGTTGCAGGATTGTTCACTGGTCTCTCTCCTTTATCAAACTCGAAACTAGATGAGCTAGCATTGCTGTCATAATCAAGATTTTCATCTTCTGTTGTTCTCACCGGGTGAATTGTGCTTGAACTTCCACTGTCAACCTTCTGAAAATGCTGCATCTTTACACGTCCCATGTCACCATTTTCCCTAGGCATTGTCTCCTTTGGTTCATAAGAAGCCTGGTCACTCTGTCTCCGGTCCAAATCACTGGATAGCTTTAATGACAGAACTTCTAAGCTTGGAGATGTAACTGGAAGGAATATGGTTAATTAGTTCCCAAATACAAAAATCCTAAATTTTGAAAGAAAAAAAAGGTACATATATATGAAGTTTTCTTATTCAGCAAAAGTACACACCTAAGCTGGGATAAATGCTGACTAATACATAGTAAAAAAGTATATGCAAAAATAAATAAACTGCAATTGCAGACCTTCATCATCAAGGTTGTCATTTTTTGAGGAGAGTAAGCTATTCACAAATTCAGCATCTTCAAGCCTTGAAGGGGAGGTTCTAGATGAGTTAGTGTTGGATCCATCCTTCTTCTTATGATAGTTTGGCCCTATAAACTTCATCCTCAGTTTACTGGGAGAAATTATTCCAGTCTGCAGGTATGAAAAGAACAAATGGCATATTTATCCTCATCAAATGCCTAGAAGAACTCAATTAGCAAATTTCACAGTATCCAACTTTCAACACATTGCATAAACAAAGAAACCCATCACGTGACCACTCTCTTTCTACCAAAAGGCCCACTCCACCATTTCCACCCACATCCCTTCTTTCCCTCAGAAGAAAATTAAGGGGTAATTGAATCCTGCTCTTCTCTTTCTTTCCTTTTTTTCAGCCTTTTTTTGTTCTCTCCCTTTCCCACGCACCTAACAAATAATTATGACAAAACCAAGCTTTCCATTCATTACAAAAAGTAGAAAAAGCAAAAGTATAATTTTTGAAATCATGTTAAAAAAATTCACTTGGAGGGAATCAATATAACGAAGTCCATAAAGAAACGGAATTGATCACTATTCTGAACTCTTACAAAACAGAAACCTTGAATTCAAACAAGGAAAAAAAAAAAATCTCAGACAAGGATGGACCATTTTCCCACCAACCCAGTTTCTGAAACAGAAGAAAGATTCAATTTTCATCAACAAAAAACCATGAGCCTAAATGAAACACCCCGCAAGATCAACAGCTCCGATCAACCAAGCACCAAAAGCTCAACATATAGAGAAAAGAGAGCATTGGGTTATATATAAATGCCAAACCTGAACTTTCTCTATCCTCTCATAATCCATTAGATCTCTGTCTCTCTAACTTGGAAGCTAGCTAATGCAGCAGAGGAAGGAAGGAAAAGAACTCAATAGCAACTTAGCTTGTGAGTTGAGACTTATAGAAATGATAATAATTAATAAGAGAGAGAGAGAGAGATTGTGAAAATGTTGTAGGAAGGAAGAACAAGAACAAGAACAGGAACAGGTGTTTGTTTGCTCAAGAAAGTGTTCAAATTTGGTTCTTCTACAGTACGGGGGATGCTGTATCTAACTATGATCTCGCCACGCCATCAGAGTGGGCCCCACTTATGTCCAATGATATCACTGCTTTTGCTCTTACTGTTTTGCCCCTTCCCCCGAGGATTTGCCGATTATAATAATAAGTAGAAAAAAAAAGTTGAAGTTTTTTTTTTTTTTAAAGTGAGACAAGTTATACTTATGATGTCCTTTCTTATTGTTTCTTATAACCAATTTATTTATTATTAGATCAAAATTAAATTAATTTGAATCGAATTATAACAAAAATAATGATAAAAATGATAAGTATAACCTCGTCTTTTAGAGTAGTTCCTAGAAAAAGATGGAATGACACTAGTTGAATTTGGCTTAAAAGACTTACTTTGTGTTTGAATGGGGTATTTTAATATTAAAAAAATTAAATTGTATCATTTAATTCCTTTCAATTTTAAAATTTGAATAACTAGTGGTGAAATCCAAATTGTAGTACAAAATTTTGCATAAAGAAAAATGCCAGAAGGACTGAAAATCAAGCTTACCAATTTCAGCTAACACTTATTACCAATTAATTATTATCATTTAATCACCTCTTTTTAATATTTGTTTAATTTTGAAATAAAAAATTGTGTCCTTTATTTATTTTTTACTTCAACTACTTTATCCAAATATATACTATTAGGGGAAGTAAGGTTGCACTCATCTTATTATATTATTTTATCCGAATTAGTTTTCATTTAGAAAGAATACAAAAAACAAGAGGACAAAGGGTAGAAAAGTAAATGACTTGAGGCCCGCCTTCGAAATCGAAACAGTAAAAATGATCACAAGTTTGGATTTTCAGTTTCCTCTGCATAGTAACTGTTTACGCAAGTTGGTCATAATCATTCAACACCTAAATACTACTTAAAGTAAAAGTAATAAATTCGAAAATAACATTTTTTTTAAGGATCAAAATACCTGTTCGAGTGAAATTTGAATAGAGAAATATACGGTGTTAGAGAATCTCAAAAAATATAGGGAGATTAGCATGAAGTAAAATGTGTATCACTAGATAAGAAAACTGGTATAAAATATATATTTTTTTAAACTTTTCCCTCGATTTTTTATTTAAAAAAACTAATAATTATAATTTTATTCAAAGAAATTTTGAAATATATATATATTTCTAAGAGTGTATTTGGAATGTCAAAAATAAATTTCTTTTTTGTAAATAAAAAATACGGTCCTTGAAATATTAAAAAATAAGAAAGGATTTCGTTTTTAATATCTTATAAAATATTATTGCTTTTGTTTTATAAATCTTATTAAGTTTGATACCATTTTTTGGGAGTTAATTTGATTTTAAAGTTACTTATGTGCATTGACTATTTTACCCTTACTAAATACAGTATTAAAATATAATAAAATAAAATAAATTATATTTTTAAATAATTTCAAATAGAAGATTCAATTACGAAATTAATTCAAATCTCTGGATACCAAAAAAAAATAAAAAATATTCAAATCTCCTTTTTATAGAATTTAAACTTTAAATAATTTAAAATCAAATTAAATTAAATCAAAACATTTCGTACATTAAAGAATCCAAACACAATATAAAGGTGGAACAGGTCTAAACATGCAATTATTCTTTTAATATGAGACATAAAAGTTTCAACTAATAATGTCATATAAATTATTAATTTTTTGTAAATAATTCATTTTATTCATTAAATTAAATATTTATAAATTAAAAAGTGATAAGTGGTTAAAGGAATAGGTAAAGGGAAATACGACAAGTGTTTACCAAAAAAAAAAAAGGGAAATACGACAAGTTTATTTATTTTTGTGAGAAGAAATAAAAGATTTGTAAAAAAAAAAATCATGAAAAATGTATTAAACCTGTTTGATAAACTAATATATTAAATAAAATAGCGTTTAGGGGTATATCCGTCAATAGAACCGTAACTTTTAAAAATAATGTTTACATCAAATTAAATATTGTTCAAATAATGAAGAGAACTAATTTTCAAAAATGTATGAAATTGACGTAAGGGGTGTTTCGAAGGGCTAGAAGAAAAAAGAAAAAGAAAAGAGATATATTATAAATCCTTGAGATTTTTTCAGAAGAAAAACTTAGCTTCAAATTATGCCAAAGAATATATACAATTTATCTACAAATAACATTTTTGACGTAGATAACATTGTTTATAAAATAATAAAACACACTTAAATTATATGTCTATATCACACTCTAAGTTTTACAATGGAGTCCGTTACGCTACAAAATTATTCACATAAAGAGTTGGTGGTATAAATAATTAGTGGGTAACTTGAAGTTATAGCCAATTGTGATATATTTAGATTGGGAACATCAAAATATTTTATTTGTAAGATTTAAGTTTAATTTTTATTGCCAATATTTTTTTATGGAGAATATTATTTTCACGTATTCACAAATTAAAGGTAGGGTCTATTTATTTTTTCTCATCTATTCTCTTTCTTCTAATTTTATAAGTATATAAGAGAATTTTTTCCTTGAGTAATATTTTCTTGTTGAGACTTACGATGTTATCTTGATAGCGTATGATTCCTAATACTTTTTAAAATATTTTTATTTGCTAATAAATATTAATCGGCGTTCAAAGTTCAAACAGAACAAAACACGTGAAATAAAGTCGTTCATACAACTTTTGGTGTGGCGCAAAAATTATTCCGATAATCTCGGCTTGAAATAGCAATAACTCAAAAACATATTATTATTTAACAAAAAATGATGGGAACTAAATTACATATCTAATGTATGGGTTTTCGTTTTATCCTTTAACATAACACAACAAACTTTCCTACTCTCACAATATTTTGTGGGGCCTACACTTTTTAAAACAAAAAAATAAATAAAAAATTAAGGTACACAAAATGAATCTCTATAACATTACACAATTACTTTTCCTACAACATAACTCTTATAAAATTCCTACTATATATTCAGAAACAAGGATAATTGAAATAATATTTAATGGAAGACGTTAGAATTGATATAGTGGTAAGAAATTTGAATAAGTTATATATATTAAGTTATTATGTATTAGATATTCATTCGTATAAAATAATAATAAATATATGATGTGAATATATTCCTTGGTCAGTCAAAGATACTTCTGGGAAACACATCCACCAACGTAGACTCATTTTAATTTTTTTTTCTAATTTATTTGATAGAGGGGAATATTAATTAAATTAGTGTGTCAGAACTCAGAAGCCGAAGGGGCTCAGACTCTACTCTGAAGGGTTCGGAATTCTATAATGTGACTCCTCCTACTTTCACTCTGCCCTATTTGACCCAAGTCATCACCTAATCCACTTTCGTTGCATGGGACCATGCCACCCTTACTTCTTTTGAATTTGGTGAAATACTGAAAAATCTCACATTTTCTTGTATAAGTTGCAAAAGTTCTAGAAACTTATGCTAACGAATAAAGATGATCGGTTTATAATTTTTTTTTAATAAATTTATAAATTATATTAGGTCTGATTAGTAATATTTTACTTAAAAATATATTACAGATAAATTATAGTATAATTTGTAAGAGTTTGTAAAAAAAAAATTTATAAATATAATTTTCTGCATTAATGAAACATAAAAAAAATTACTACTCTACTTAGCGAAAAAGTTTATTGACAGACAACTATTTTACTTATTAGAAGAATCCATGATACTTGTGAGAAAAATGTGTGTTATTTTACCATGAAAGACAATTTTTGTGTAGTTGTGATATTTTTATATAATTATGTCATGTTTTTTTTTAATATGAGTGGGTCAATTTTCAATTATTTTACACCTCAAAGAATATACAAGAGTTTTAGCTAATAAAAGTGGGGGACGCATAAATTTGACTTTCACAAATACTTTTTATTCAAATTTTCTTTTTGTTTGGGGCTTTAGCCCTTCTTATGTACACACACAACAAAAAAAATTCTTTTTGTTGTCCCTTACCTTTTGTTAAGTCCTTATTAGGAGGTTACATACGAGCCGTGTACACTAAAAAAAAAAAAAAACCCTCCCTTTTTTTTGTAAAATAATAATAATAATCAAGAAGAGGCTAGTGCTGTTCAATATTCATCCTCGTTAACTCTGTCACAATATTTTAATTCCCCCCCCCCCCCCCCCCTCCCAAGAAAAAATATAATTAACATTATCATATCCATGATCTAATGAAACTTTAAGAGCACAAAACCCGAATAGGAAAGGTATGAAGGTCATCTGCTTTATATTTGCTTTTCATTGAGATTATGGTCCTACAAATTCATTTTATACTATTGACGTTACACTTTAATATTATTTGCTCAATTTAGGAGCCCAAGAAACATTCTTTTACTATTGTTAATTATATCAAGGGTTTGTTTTTTCTGATGTTACTTTAGATAATTTTATCTAATGTTCATCAAAACGACGTTGTTTTGGGACGGAAATCATGGTATTTTTGTAATTTTAATTTATTTCGGGGTTATAATAGTCTTTATTACTCTAATTTTTTAATTTTTCAACCCAAAACGACATCGTTTCGATGAACATTAAATAAAGTTATCTAAAGTAACAATCGGAAATTTTTTTCCTTATATCAATTCATAAAACCAAAAGTTGATTAAGAACAATGGTTCGTGGCCATAGAGGCCTACTACTTCACATGGTGTGTTTTCATTATCAGGGACCCCCATTGTCTTTTGGACATGCTGACGTGTATCATGGATGCCCTTGCTTAGGGTTTTGACCATTTGGTCTTCTTTTTCATCCGTTTTGGTATGTGAACGTACTGACCAATTCGCCTACATGTTTGACCACCTTCTGCACTTGCGTACAGAAAACGGCTCCATATTAAGGTCGTGCTCTATTTTTGCTCCTTCTTTTTGGTTGAAACATATTAGGTATAAGTTGAATTCAACGTAATG